TCTTAATGACGGCACATGGAAAAACAGATTCTACCAACAGATTGCTCCTTTTTGGAAAAAATTAAGCCTGTTGCATTGAATCTTGGTGTCTGGTTTGACAGTAATCTTAGTTTTGTGCAGCACAACACAAAGCCTGGGCATTCATGTTTTTCCCATCTTAGACATTTTTGGAAAATAGAAATCTGTCCTACCACAGGAACCATTTTATACACTTCAGCTCATCAATCCTGGATTACTGCAACAACTTTTTATTACCTGCCTGAACCATCTATTGATCCGACCTCCGATTGTACACAACTCAGCTGCCAGACTTTTATCCAGAAACAAGTGATGTGTGCACATCACTAACGTTTCAGCCTCTTTAAACTGGCTCTCATTATGCTTTAGAACAGAATTGTGGTAATTATGGCATCTCTATCACTACATCTCTGACCTCTTAATGCCATATGTGCTTTATTATATTTTGCGATTCTGTGACAGAGGTCTACTGTCTGTTTCAGGAACCCAGTGGAAAACTAAAAGGGAACTGTAATATTCCCTTTAAAAATGCTTTTACTTTTTCCAACACTACTGGTTTTATACACTGAATTGATTTAGTTTTTAAGGTCCCATATGGTAAAAATCTATTTATATTGTCCTTCATACGTCTTAAAAAATTAGGGCTGTGAAATAGAAGCTGTGAGAAGAAGAAGACACTTACTATCGCCATCCCTCTGGCCTCCTTCTCAATGAAATGCCCTCCCAGCTTTACAAGGCAGTTAGAATTTTATTTAGTTACTCAGTAGGACCTGTGGAACCAACAATCATAGAGCTACTAATCTGCTTCACAAAGAGCAACAAATGTGCTGCTGTGCGCTGTAGGGGTAAAAACAACAGTTTTCATGCACTCCCAGCATCTGAGAAAATGAAGATCCAGTGGATTATTCATTTTAATGGCAGTGCCACCCAACAATAAGAAAGTCCTCAGTGTTAGCATGTTGTTCGGCTAATGTGGTTAATGATACCATCAGCTCTGATTGTGTGTCCACAGGTCAGAGCTGTGTCCAAACTGTGACGCTGAAGGACATTCAGAGGAGGTGGAAACGTTAAGATCAATTTGAAACCAATAAACAAGGACCAGATTACTGTGTTTCCATGTTGCCTGCTGTGCTTCAGTGCAATTCAGCTGCTGTTCACATCTGCTTGCTTCTCTTCTGCCCTCTGTGCACAATTATATTGTATTTTAAGCTAACAAAATTTCCGATAAAGCTGTCCTCATTCACATAGTTTCCAGTTTCTGTTGTCAGTGGAACTAATGTAAGAAATCGGGGTTCATGAAGTCATGGTAAAATGAACCAGCCATCCATCCATCATCTATACACCACTTAATCCTCACTGGGGTCATGGGGGGCTGGAGTCTATCCCAGCTGACTCAGGGTGAAGGCAGGGGACACCCTGGACAGGTCACCAGTCTATCACAGGGCTACACTTAGAGACAGACAACCGCGCACACTTACATTCACACCTACGGACAATTTAGAATCACCAATTAACCTCAGCATGTTTCTGGACTGTGGGAGGAAGCCGAAGAACCCGGAGAGAACCCACGCTGCACGGGGAGAACATGGAGACTCCACGCAGAAAGATTCCGGTGGCCCCACCGGGACACAAACCGGCGACCTTCTTGCTGCGAGGCAACAGTGCTAACCAACTGCGTCACCTTGCAGCTAAAATGAACCATCTTTGCAGTATGTTAAACTGACACATAATGGCGTAAATTAGATGGAAAGCGTTACAATATGGGACGTTTTTAAAACCTGTTGAGTTTAGAACTTGCCTGATCTACTTCTCTGTCCTTGTGAAACATTTTGAAACATGGACTTTGAAAAGTGGTCTCTGAAGAAAGATGACGATGATGATTATTATTATGACTGTAAACTGAAACTACGCCACAGAGTTTGCCAGCTGTAGCCAGTCTCAGCACTTGCAACCCCTCTATGGAAAGATGGAAAACATGATAATTACCTGGAAACCCTAAATGCTAAATTTTCATTTCTGGGCAAAAGTAGAAATCTTGAACTGCCGACTGAAAATCTCCCAGACGTCGGACCAGAGGTTGTACCCATACACTGTTATGAATCTAACTTTTGGTCAGTTTTTGGTCAGCGCTAAATGAAAAGTCAGATCTACCTCAAATATCACGGCGCACGAACCAAAACATTGGATGATTTGATCACCTTTGTCATCTCTATGCCTCGCCGCTAGCAGCACAAAAATTATAGTACCGATAGAACTTTTTAATCAGAGACATTCTGGATTAAATGTTAAACGCTGCATAACCAAATGAAGGCTCAGAGATTATTAAGAACATTAATCTTGTATATTCACCCGCTGCAGTCTACTTTTAATGGGACTTTTTGCCAACAAATTTAAAACATTTTTCTACATCTTTTTTTTTTTAAATCTCAAAACCACATCCCGGCATTTCTGTTCATACAATTTCAACAACGGAGGCAAGTTCGTCTACATTTGCGCATTAAAATAGTGTTTTACTTTTGGCTCTATCAGCAGGGCAGCTGTTGCCCAGCCGCAAACCTCATCGCTCAGCACTGTGCGGAGGCTTCACGCTGAGGGGAAGCTGCAGTTATTGGCTGCCTTCACACACACATACAGCAACCAGCTACTGGCCTCTCTCCAGTCGAGGTCTTATGCAGGTTAAGCTGTTTACATGCATCTTTGATACCCTGTAAGCAACTCTGCTTGTTGCCATGAGTAAACCAATTACCAGAATATTTTGGTGCACCTTCACCGTCCCACCCACAGCGAGGATTCAGACTGGAGAAGTATACGAAGCAAACAAACAACACTCAAAATTAACTGTAATTGTGATGATGGTGTGCAGCTGCAGCACAGCCAATATGAAACAATTAGGAGAGAAGCATGTCTGAATTCAGCTCGAACGCCGAGCAGAGGCTTCCAACATGTTAGCTGATGAGCTGCAGCATTCCTCCACCGTCACATTCATCCAAATGTGTTCTTATTGAAGGCTGTTTTTTCCATTTCTTTTAGCCAGCGCCTTCAAAATAATCTAACCATGACTTACAGCTAACAATTTAAACCATTTACTTATTACATTTAGGTAATTACTCCAAAAGTTAATCCATTACATCCAGCTATTAAATACTACAGTGTGACTACATTGAACACACAACATGTGGACTGTTTCTGGAATAAATCCTTGTAATTGCTGCTTGTACTTTGGGCCTGTTGTGTCTTACGTATTTGGAAGCAGCACAGTTGTGGAAAGTTTCAACTTGTGTAAGTTAACATCTATAGCAGACAAGGTAAGAACTGGCTAAATAAATGTCAACAGAGTGATCTAGTGGAAGCCACGTTTGATATAAAGCTTTCTTTACACCATAGTTTAATTTAAAGGTGTAATATGAATGAAAAAATGAAATGAAAAATGAAAAATACTTTATTTATCCCAGAAGGGAAATTCAATCTTGTAAAAGCTCACTTTTTTTTTTTTTTTTTTAAAATCAATTTAACATATATTCTATACAACAACAACAACAATCATTCAGTCAGTCAGATTTGTTTTTTAAGGTGATGGCTGTTGGCAGGAAGGTAATAATAATATGCAATATTTTTTATTAACATGGCAACAAAACAAATGTCTGCTATGTGAAGAAAAAGTGGAGTGATGGTGTCCTTAGCAGTGTGTGTGTTTTGTAATCTGAGCTTCTCTGTTCTGTGTTTTGACAGCTAGTCTACATACATGTTGGTGCATGTAAGTCCCTCCCGTTGAAACTACCGGCCCTACTTGTGGTTCTAAACAGACTGAAACTGATGTTTCACACCACAATGGAAAACGCAAAATTGCAGTCCATTCAGGCAAAACAAAGATTGAAAAAAAAAACTGCATTTTATTTATATTATATACAGTCGTCCTCAAATGTATTCATAGCCTCCTATTAAAGAAGGAAAACAACAGCTGTCACTGAAATAAGTTAAAATTGACAAAATTAATAATAAATTTAAAAAACCCAATGAAAATCATGACGTTGCGTTTGAATTGTGGTTCAACAGAAATATGAAAAAAACAAATAAAACAAGCAAACCAGCATGATGGGACCCATGAACTAACATTTAATTGAACAACCCTTTGAGCCAATCACTGCCATCAGGTGTTTTCTGTAACTCTCAGTCAGACGTCTGCACCTGTTGACAGGTGTTTAGATTTCACTGCTCATCAGCAAAGTGCTCTAATTTGTCTGGGACAGTTTTTTTTTTTTTTAATTATTCGTTTCAACCACAATTCAAAAGCAATGTCTCATTTCACTAAAGTATAATTTAGCAAATTTTTATTTCTTATTACTTTTTTCAGTTTCTAGTTATTTGAGTGACTGTTGTGAATTTTGCCTTTTCTTTAATGGAAGGGGATGAATACATGAGAGGACGACTGTATTGTATACATCATACATGTGCGTTTGTTTCATTCCGGCTCAGTATGAGAGTCTGTGCTGCTGTTTTGAGGCTTTCCTCTGCTTCTCGTGTCTGTTTTGCTCCAGTAAAATGTGGAAAGAGAAACACACAGAGCACAAAAGACACGAGTGGAGTCAAGACATAGTAAATAGATCACCTCACGTAGAAAAGATAAATTGAAGACTGGTGTATTTTTACCTCTGTGACATATTCATAACATTTATGTGCTAGCATCAGAGGAGCCAGTTTCATAGATTATAATGGAAACAAGTTGCTATTAGGAATGATCTACACATGTTACGTGTTCAGCGTTTGGATTTCAACTATTGTGCCTTTAAAGTGAACTATGGATATAAAGGAAATAGAAATGTAGCTATATCTTTTTCAACCACATCAGATTTTTTACTTTTCTGTCATATTTATTTGATGATTTAATTGATTACAGGTTCCAAGTATCCACTGGAAGTCTCACAGGGCATATATACAGAATAAACACCTTCAGTTGGCCACGGTGAGCTTCAGCCGACACTCACCTGTCTCTCTCTGAGCTGAGGTAGCAGACCAGGTGACACGCCCACAGCAGCGGTCCTGCGTAGGTGCTGAGGGCCGTCAGGAAGATGGCAGGTGCTTCCACGTAGCTCTCCAGCCCGACGAAGCCAACAGAAATGTCGACGGTGGCTATGTTGTTGGAATTGCCCTGCAGATGCACAAAGAAACCTTCTTTTAAGCATTGTTACGAGTGCAGAAATAACTTAGACTGTATACAGACAAAAAAGATGAGCACACAAAGATCTGAGGAGCGAGCTTCGTAAGCACTTCAGAGCTCTAAAGAACTGGTCCTTTGCTTTATCATCATTACTCTGAGCTTCTGGCGGCTTCCCAGTGGCCCAGTTGTTTGTGTTTTTCCAGTCCCTGACCAGAGCAGCGCACAGTCTGGAGCTGGACTTAGAACCACTCAGATTACTTTGTAAGTGTGTGTGTGTGTGTGTGTGTGTGTGTGTGTGTGTGTGTGTGTGTGCATGTGGCAGCAAAAACATTTTTTAAAAACACTTTATTTTTTTTTTAGAAAACAGCATTTTTCTGCCTTATTTAACTTTGAAAGTAATTTCCACTATCTCTGGAACAAGATAAATATGCCTGCAGTAAACTGAATATGTATGTATTTCTTTTTTTTTACCTATTTTGTTTTTATCTGAAGCTTCAGAAAACATAATCACTGCAATCAGGATTTAAAATATGCTTTCTGTAAACACAGGATATACTGTGTTTACATAAGAAAAATAAAGATTTGGTTTAAATGATGTTAAAAAAAAAAAAAAAGTAATCCGTGTTCAAACTCGTGCAGCTCAGGTGTTTAATCTTATTTCTTAGTAGCACATTCAGATTGCAAAACATCACTTGCCTCCTGTTCGTGCCTTTGATATGCAGCCTTCAGACAAATGAAGCAGCCGGAGCCACGCTGGCCTGCACCTCTGAGGAATGCTGTCTTGTCTGCTCACATCTTTTCTTATTTACAGTGCATCATTCTGATCTGCTTAACAAATTCAATCTTTGTCGCGCATGCCGAGTGATAATTACATTTAGAATTTGTTCTGTGTGTTTTTTTTAGGCTGCTGTACGTTTCGATTCGCGAGAAAAAGAAAGAAAAAAAAAAAAACAGAAATCAAAGATGTATCTCTTCCTAAATGTGAACGCAATGAAGATCCATAAGCGGCAGCACATCAAATAACGGCTTCCTTCCCGTCTGCGCACACATCCCTGATCACAGAGGCAGAAAACACTAACAGCTGGCTCCGTTTTAAACAAACACGCAGCAAATATCAGCGAGCAGGTTGGAGGCTGTGTATGGATATTTTCGGCTCGCTTATTTGCCGAAATCCTGCTGTGATCTTTCAAATGTCATTCTACACCGTCAACAAATATATCGCTTATGAAAAACAGAACGGCAAGAAACGTTCTTTCTCTTTTTTGGACACAAATTTCAGACAAAATTGAGTCTCATCAGAGCGAGCTGTCTGACGGTGGAGGCTGATCTGACGCCGTTGTTTTGATGTCACGCAAAGAAAATGTATAAAGACGAGATGCGTGCCTCTATTTTGGGCAATTCTGAACGTCTGTGATTGTTTGTTGCAACTATAAGTGAGGTTTGTCAATGTGAGTATTGTGCACCAAGCAGAAACAATCTGCTGGAAGTTGTTGCATTTGTTTTTTTGTTGTTTAATTAAATCCCCCTTTGAGTTGTGAGCTTTTTAAACATCCTCCTGATAATCCATGTGTTCTGCAAAAACTTTCAAAGCTGCGTCTGAATTCATACCCGTGGGTCGACTCATTCCTACTCATGTGGCAACATTTGCACAAACTGGCTCGTTTCTAAAGAATAAACACCTCCTTTGCTGCCTTATTGACCATCTGGTTTCGGGACGGCGATAAATCCGGAGAAAATCCGCCGCAAAGTCTGACTCCAAATCACTCCGAACGATCAAAACAGCAAAAAGCAGACGGCCAACAAACCTCCTGCGAGACGGTTAATTCATCATGCGACGCGATGTTGAGTTCATTGTGACACGAGCGACGTCTGCAGCTGAGGTTACCTGGAATATTTCCCATAATTCTCTTGTGTTTCTGTGAGTTTGGCTGCCGGTAAAGCGAGGACACTTTGAAAACAACAGCTTCCTGCCAAAACGTATTAAAAAAAGCTTCTGAAAACACAAAGCAACAGTGTGTCTAGACTTTACAACAACAGCTCGGATACAATCAGCCGCGTCCGATTAGATTTTAATTGAACATAATTGTGATTATTCTGTGCGACACCAGGTTTGGTTTCAGAGCAGAAAACTTCCATCGCATACGTCGCTACGTACACATCCATTATAGTTACAGCTGCGTTGAGGACGTTATTACTCAAAGGTTTGTAATTACATGCCTGGACGCTTGGAAGGGAAATTGTCTGGTGGCGGTCTATTCCCGAGCCCATCACCGTGCTAATGACCCAAGGGTGATGAGGGTTATTAAATTGTTAGTGATGGACAACAAGACTCAGTGGCTATCCAAATATCTGACGTAGGTGGAGGTAAAATGAAAAGACAGGCGTCGAATCTGCCTTTGAGGAACAATCACCAGCTCGTAACACCAGAACGCATCCGCAGGAACCGACCAGTCCAGTTGGGCTTCATGGCAGCTCTGGACGAAACTAATGTAATTTACACACAACTTCTTCCCCGGCCCAGAACTGCACCTATTACAGAATCTAACACTTTATCAGCCGCGATGGCTCTTCCTAAATGCTGCTGCGCTCAGGTCAGCGGTAAATGAGATGTCTCTTACAATCAGACAAACTTGCCGACTGTTTTGTTGTCTCCTGAACTTCCTTCTGTAGATACGGAAGGTGGTGATTTTACCTTTAGCATCAGCAACACTAAGTGGTACAGTTTGGGAAATAGCTGCAATTTGCAAACTGGTACTGGTTTGAGAATACGTTTTTTTAACTGCAAGACGTTGGTCAATAAATCTGTTTTTCTGTAAATACTTGTGTGAAGGAGCCTGACAGTGTTGCTGTCTAGGGTGCCGTGTGATGCTGTGGTTTCAAGTCCAAGACAATTATCTACCCGTCTATGAAGTGTGTCAGAAAGTTCCAGGACTGGTGTCACAAAAGACATATTTCAAACTACAAACTACGAGTTCTTCTGACACATTTTTCTGAACTTTTCTGACACACCTTGTTTTGTGAAAGTTAACTTGGACTGATGAGTAGATGCTGCGCTTAAAAGAGAAACTAAAAACAGTCACTTTCAAAAGAAAGTACCGATCACTGATGTAACACCTTATCAGTGGCAGGCCGTGCTGTTTCCTCTTAGGCCTTCAGTGGCGTCCTACCTGAATCAAACCACCTCTTAACACCGTCATTATGACGTCACGGCTATGGAAACCATCAGTATTATGCAGAAAGGCAGCATAGCAGGACGTTGCACCGCAGACAGGAATCTCATGCAGCGAGAATGAATCTTATCACTCAAGCAAGAAACCCAGTTAAAACAATTCAACAAGTCTCCTTTAACTCTAACCACAGCTGCTCCACATACATCACATTTAGCAGGAGCATCAATATCAGCCCAGTAAAATGACAATAATATATATTTTACTCAACAAAACCTGTGATTATTTGAACACAGAATCCATCCTCCTTTCTTTCATCATAAAGAGTTCAGTCACTCTGTTCAGCAGGTAATCCGTGTGTTTCACTTCCAACAATAAGTTCAGTTCTATCTCCATGGAGGCTAACGCTGACAGTGGGTTCTGTCCAGTCGTGTTTCTGCCATAAGTTTTAATTCATTTTAAGGCTGAGAATGTCCGCTCACTTAACTTAAAAAAAAAGCTTGTGCAGGTTGCTACAAATAGGAACTGCTAGCTTTGGCTAAACTCTCTGACCATCCAATCAGAGGACGTAAAAGTGTTGACGCCATCGTAGGCCAGGTAGCTGACGCTGGGACCACCAACTCTCAGTCTGATTGGTTAAAGCTTCAGGTGCCTGCACTTTTGATTCTGAAGGCCTCAGGGCAGATTTCTTTGATCCTGGCAACACATGATTGGATAAAAGCTCTGATATAAACATACACATTGCCACTCTATGAAATAAAAAGAATAGACTATTGGGAATAAAGTTAAAAGATTAATGGGAAAATACTACAAGTCAGCGATTCTGATGCACACCACTGCACCTTATTTATTTATTCCACAAAAAGTAGTACTCTGTCTTCTCTGCTAACCTCATTTTACTCTTACTGGTGTTTTAGTCTCTGAACTGTACGAGGTGCGATTATAAAGTTCTGATTCTGTTCATGTTGCGTGTGAACAGAGCACAGTACCACCTTGTGACCTATGTTGCATGTTTTTTTTTTAACTATTTGTAGGTGCTGAAATTCACTTCATCACAGGAAACAGCAAAACAACAAGTTGCAGAGAGCCTGGATCGTGCAGGAAGGCAGCCCTGCTAGTTGTCTGTGGTGGATAATCCATTTTAATGACAGTGTCGTCTCTCTGCATGCAAATGTTCCACCAAATCTATTCCGCCCCCCACTATTTTGAAGGAACATCAAAGTCGCATCCTTCGCTTTACTCCGTCCAAGATGGTTTAGAAACATTCAAACTAGCCAGAGTGTTTGTTCCCTATGGCAGAGTGATGATGAAGTGCAGCCAGGCATTATGTACGACAGGATGGGCTGGATGAGCAGCACCAGGTTATACGGCTGTGAAGAAGGTGCATCAGGTAAGGAGTGCACCAAGAGGATGCTCACTGATTGCTATGGAATCCACCCACGTCTAAGGAAGAATATCTGCAAACAACCTAAACTGTGTCACAAATGAAACCAGGTTCTCCGTCATGACAATAAAAATCTGCAAGTGTAAAGTTCAAGGAACACCGTTTGGATTCGTTGGAGGATTTCCAGTCAGAGGATGTTTAACACGCTGACATAATGGGACTTGTTCCAAGAGCAGCAGGAGCACTGGGAGCAGTGTGGCGCTGCGCAAGGAGACGACTTCAAAGTGAAGAGCGGCCACATTTAAATCAGGTTTTTTGTCGTTTAAAGGCACAGTCTCTTAACTTTTTGATCATACCTCCTATAAAGAGGTTAAAAAGAAAACAGCTGTGTGAGCTATTGAACTTGCTAACAGCCACTCTGGACTCTAAAGATCTCTGCTCCATCACAGCGGCCCTGTTAAGACGGCGTGCAGCTCTTGCATGTTGAAAATCTGTTTTGAATTTTAAATCGTGGTCACACTTACACCTCCAACAGCACCACAGCTAGTAACAAGTATCATGAGCCTTGAGGGGAAATGTTACACCTTATTTCATAAACCCTCCACTGTGTTGGAGGTACCTCAACAGACAAACTGGCTCTTAAGCGTCTTTGAGTTTCTTAAAAAGCGCTCTATAAAACAAATGTATTATTATTTGTTATCTTAGACCGTCTTATTGTCGCTTACCTGGAAGTAAAAGAAGGCCTGACCGAACCAGTAGTGCATGATGGTGGTCTGGGCTGCATCGTAGTGGAGTTTCTTCCAGATGAACTGAGCCATGAGTGTCTGGATCAACAGGCAGCAGCAGAGCACTGGCAGGTTGTGAGCACGAAACAGCAGCGAAACCAACAAAACCAAGCCGCTGTAAATCTCCCATAATCCCCTGCTCTTCAGTTTGGCATCTGCTGTGATGATCTGGGATCGCAACAGGTCCTTGGTGCCCGTGAAGAGGATGCCCAAGACAAAGACGTAAACAAAGCGTGCCTCCACTGTTCCCCTAAAAGAGAAAGATTACAGACTGTGTCAGTGTTTCGCATTTGCAGTAAGCCTGTATTGATTTTTCCCGCAAAACTTTTGAGTCAATATTCAAGTAATTGTGGTAACTGACTCTGGGATGTGGATCCTGGCTGTCTGGCTGTACCTATTCATGTGTTTAGACATTAAATCTCCAGAGATGGGAAATGATTTAACCTGTGCTTTATATGATGAATGATAAGAAAAAAGGTGCTTCATCAAACTCCTCAACAGAAATCCAATAATCTTAACGAATCAACTGTAGCCGAGCTCAAAGGCCAAACAAACGTCTTTGTAAACAGGAGAGACAACGTTAAATATTAACCAAATAAAAATAATAATAAAATACAGTCGTCCTCGAATTTATTCAGACCCTTCCTTTAAGAAAAGGCAAAATTCACAACAGTCACTTAAATAACTAGAAACTGAAAACAGTACAGTCGTGACTCGATAATCCGACCCTTAACAATATGAAAACCTTGCTATGCGACAGGTTTTTAGGAAAAATGAACGGAACCCATTAAAAACAGCCTTAACATACCGACAGCCTTGGATTCAGACTCCGACATGACATTTTACATCACAAATAAGGATAACGGCGTATTATCTGACTGAACAATCCAACAGATTGGCTACGTTCACACTGCAGGACTAAATGCTCAATTTTTTTGTGAAATCAGATTTTTTGTGAGTTCGTTCACATTTCTAGTTAAATGTAACTTGTATGTGATCTGCTGTGTGAACTTCATACGACCCAAAAATGTCCCGCATGCGCAGAAGAGGACACGACGACGTCACACGCAGTGAGCGTGCTCAGTGTTTAAGGAAGTAAACATGGATGGTAATGGTAGAGCGTATCTGCCACTCCCCCGCTGCCACCGATGGTGGAAACAGAACTGTGAGCGCTAACTAAACTAGCATCAGCAGCCAAACACTGCCTGTGTGTTCTGGCCTCTTCCACCCCGTCGGGGTGCTCCCCTGGGGTGGAAGTGGCCGTAACGTGCACAATTGCATCGGTCAATTAGGCGTGAAATCCAGCGATGTGTAGCGTTCTAACAACACACTAGTTATTATAACAACTACAACAATAAATATTAACAACAAATGAGCCTTCCAGCATCAAGCCCTCCTTGTATCTTGACCTACGTCTTGACAATCCGACAGCCTTGCTATCCAACATGAACGAAGGTTTTACATTTAGTGTCAGATTATCGAGTCACGACTGTAATAATAAATAAAAATTTGCAAAATTAGAATTTAGTGAAATAAGACATTGCTTTTGAATTGTGATTGAAAAGAATAATTTAAAAAAACAAACAAAACTGTCCTGGTCGAGTTAGAGCACTTTGCTAATGAGCAGTGGGCCAAAAAAAACCCCAAAAACAAACAAAAAAATTATTATTAGTTTTGTCAATTTCAACTTATTTCAGTAGCAGAGTTTTTTTTCCTTCAATTAAAGGGAGGGTATGAATACATTTGAGGACGACTGTAGATATATTAGTTATAGTCAAAAATGCAAATATGACGGCATTAATAAAAGCACGTCTTGAAAATGTGGTGAAAAAGTTCAAAAGAGGAGAAAAAAACCCAAACAAAGCCCGATGTTGAGTAACACACGTGGTTCGGGCACATTTCAGCGAGACCTTTCGTTATGAAAGGTTCTCAGAGTTCACTACTTTAATTATTTTCACATCCCTGCTTCTAGTTAGACAGGATTCCTTATATTTCTGTGACTCATAACCCTTCCTTCATTCGGTATGCAGTGTGTCAATGTAACATTAATAATTAAAGCTATGAGACTGGAAGACAGAATGAATCGCCGCAGGAAAACAGACTTTCTCACACCCATCACTTTGTCTGTCGCGCTTTCTGCATCACTATAACGTTGAGAAATGTGGCATTAACATATTTTCTTCCCCCTGCGTTCTAAGCTTGGGTGACATTTTCCCACAAGTCTCTTTCTTGAATGGCGAAGCACGGGTTGTAAGAGGCGAGTTTAACAACAGTAGTGGTGAAGCAACCCAGACAAGGCTACACCTGAGACTTGCTCGGAGATTTTCTGACAGCTGATTCCTTTAACAGTTAACGGGCATAATTTCAGTCTTTCTTTTTGTCATTAGCGACAGCGGAGGGTCCCAACTCTCAGATTAATTAAATAAGTATCCAGAGTTCCATGTTTTCTACCACAGCAGTTTGCTTTTCCTCCTGGATGTCACACCTCGCCGTTCATTTGTAGGGATGTACTGCCGCATTAGGCAGTAATACACAAACATGCAGCCTTTCATTTTTCGCAAACACAACATCATTACTTCCATCTCTGGAACTCTGTTTACTCGCCGTCCCTCGTGAGCATCCACAGCGATGTGTAATCTGTCTCCTCCCACTGCCTTCTCCTCTCACTCAGCTTTCCCTGTGATGGACCCGTCCACTATCCTGGGACCTCTTTTTCTCTTTTCGGTTCTGCATCTTTGTCCTCCAGGACATTCACCCTTTCATCTCGCCTCTCTCCCCTGTGTGCACATTGCCCTTGTTTCTTTTTTTCTCCCGTGTGTTTGTTTCCCTGCTCTGCTGCTGTGTTTTTTTGTTGTCTAGATTTTTCCTGACTGCATCGATGTCTTTGGATAGAAGTTGCCACACTGGATGCCCTACAAGTTCTTTAAGACAAATTTATGATTTGTGCTACAGCATCATGTAAATAAAACTGACTGGATATCAGCATATTTACATGTAAAGCTCGAGGGAGAACAGAAACAGATGCTCCACTGCATTCTGGCTGTTTCAGAGGTGAAACTGTTGTAATTCTTCCCACAGGAAGCAAACACTTCAGGTGCCATTTCTGTGTACTGCACTCATATTTTTAACAAAAAAGTAATTTACGGTTCTCTTGATCAAGTTATTTATTTGCATCGGCTCTGTTCCAAGTCATTTAATATTTAGTGCCTGCCAAAATAGAGTCTGCACACAAAACGCACACTTCAAGTATATTAAAATTATTAAAATCAATCCAGTGTATTTGCTTGATAACTGAAAAGCTCTGCGATGCATTACGGAAGAAAAAAAAAGAAGCATTTTTGCATCCAAGCTGTTCCTGTTACGTAGGTGGTGGGAACCTTGTTGTAAAGCTCCTGTAGATGTACTGCTGATAGGGTGTAGCCTGGCTCCACAGGATCCAAACCACAATCCTCTACATGCAGGCCAGAAAATGTATTGAAGACTGGCTGTAGTACCTGGTTGCTCTGACGAATACTGTGGCGACCCAAGAGGGTGGAAAGGGTTAACATCGGGAAGTTTAGCTAGCCGTAGGCACCGTGACGTAGACTTCAATGACGCTTAATGTCATACATTTTCTGCAAAGTGTGCCGCCACAAGTTGTGCTCTCCTGTTTGGAGTGTGGCAATGGGTGGAAACAATATTCAGGCTTAGACTGGTGTCAATACCAGTTAGTTATAAAACGCCAGTCAGTGATAATGGCTCTGGACAACCTTGTAGTGAATAATGAAGACAAGAGACACACTGAGGACACTAAGGAACATTATGGAGAATGTTCATGTTGGGAAGGGAAA